CTGTGAGCTGTGATGCCACGGCACTCTACCAAGGGCAACAAAGTGAACACTCTTTCTCTTAAAAAATAAATAAATAAATAAAGGGCAACAATTTTACATCTTTTCAGTATCATGTATATTTTTTAAAAGATAATCTATAAAATAAGTGCTAGAGATAATGAAAACTCACTTCCTAGTTAATATGTCGTGTCTCAAATAAGGACCGACACTGTGGTTTAATATATCAAGTAACATGTATTTTAAATTCTGAATAATTAAGAAACTTTATACTTGATTTTCTTGATTTCTGATTTTAGAGTCACTTTTTCAGAACACGCCTTTCACCTTTACTGACAGTTAACGATGATTACACAGAAACCACAATCCCTCCTTTATGAATCCCGTCAGTTCAGCTTTGCCTGTCACAGTCACTTTGCATCCCAGAAACTTCTAAAAACTCAGTGTTTTCAAAACACAGAAGGAGGGAAGTCCTTCAGAAGAAATTAATATATTGGTCTCAAGAAGAATCTACTCCCCACATTTAAGGAGAAGTCAGGAAGTACATGGCGAACAGGATGGAAAATTTTTAAACATCCAGCTTCTTTTAAATCCGGTCACCATGACTCCATTGTACTGTGGCAGGAATTCCGAAGTTAAATATAGCAGATCACAGATATATACACTGAGGAAAAATGGATAGTAAATTGAACGATTAAGGGATAAATTAACATTTTAGATAATCAATGCATCCATCATCCCTCCTCCATTACAAGGAAATACTAAAATACAATAAAACTAGACAATGAAACGCAGAGTTTTTTCTTCTACCCTACAATATTTGAGGAAAAATAAAAGAAAAAGGACAAGGGATAATGCTGGTAGGCATTTTCAGTTGACTGTCTCAGAAACGAGCCCTTTTCTTAGTAGACTAAGAAGCACTTCCATACAGAGCCACAACAAACATTTTCTTTACTACCAAGTGTTTTAATCTCCCCACTGCGACTGTTTTGTCAAATATTTAGTTTTTGGACAGCTGGACTTAATATTTTTTTGCTTTTTTGAGACAATCTCACTATGTTGCCTTCACCAGAGTACCGTGGCATCACAGCTCACAGCAACCTCAACTCTTGGGCTTAAGTGATTCTCTTGCCTAACCCTCCCAAGTACCTGGAACTACAGGCGCCTGCCACAACACCCAGCTATTTTTTTCTTGCAGCCATCATTGTTGTTTAGCAGGCCCAGGCCAGGTTTGAACCCTGGTATATGTAGCCGGCACCGTAACCACTGAGCTATGGGGACCCAGCCAGCTGGATTTAATATTAAAAGCTAGAAAAGATACTGGATTCTTCCAACTTTTATATATCTAGAACACTCTCACTATTCCCCGCTGTCCATTCTCTTTCTACACATATTTTCTTTACATTGAGTGATCCGTGCAAGACTATGGCAAATATTTTCATAAACCATGGGCAAAAAAATTTGTGGAAAGTTTAAATAGTGCTACCATTTTAAACTTATTTCTAAAATGCATGTGTTAGGGGGCAGTGCCTGTAACTCAAAGGAGGAGGGTGCCAACCCCATATGCCGGAGGTGGTAGATTCAAGCCCAGCCCAAGACAAAAACTGCCAAAAAAAAAAAAAATGCATGTGTGAGTTAATAAAAATGTTTCCAACAGGTATACCAGGTATACCTGTATAATTATTACATACTAATTTGTATAAAGTAGTGTCCCAAAGAATCGAACAATTTTGGAGTTTTCAACCTACTATAGAGTTCTCCTTTTTTTATTGTTTTTTTGGTTTAGACAACAGAATTTATTTCCTCACAGTTCTGTTTGGTTTTTTTTTTAATTTCAGGTTAATATGAGGGGGGTTCTCCTTTGTTTTTACAACCTGATCTATCAATCACAACTGAACTACTGGAAAACCTGATGAAATTAACCAATAATCTTTCAGATCACTTTGAGGAAGACTTACTTGGGGAAAGGGCAGAGGAGCGTGTGTGTGTGCGTGTGTGTGTGTGTCTGTGTATGTGTGTCTGTGTGTGTGTGTGTACATACACGCGCACATCTGAGAGGAATATGCAATCAGGGGGCAGATGCATATAAGGCTGTTTCCCTTCTGTCCCTCAGAACCACCAGAAAGACCCTCCAGTTAGAAAGGAAATCACGCCTTCTGGTGCAGAGGAAAGGCAGGAAACCGCTGACCAGATAAATATCAGGAGCTGCCCTCTCAGGACGCTGCCATTGTGCCAGGAAAGGGTATGTCTCCGAGACTCCAAGTGGAAAGAAATGCTAGATTAAGACCAGAATAGTCACATCCCCTGACCATCAACTAACTGTCGACAAAGTCACATCATTATTGTTATATTTCATGTGACTCTTAGTAATTTGTATCCTTTTCTAAAAACCATTATAGAGAAATGCCTCTTCTACCATCATGAAGACAGTATGGGCAACTCACTTCAAATTCCAATTAATTTGGAGAGTTCTAAAGAAGGCTGGACGTTTTAGAAGTACATAAATAGAGCACTTACAAAGTATTTTCGGATTATGACATTTTAAAATCTCCAAATACATGGTAAAAGAAATTGCTTGAAGAAAAAGAAAAGCTGTCTGCAAAATCCAATGTGCATACAGAGAGACAGAGAGTCAGAGACAGACAGAGAGGTGCAGGCAGACAGAGCGAGCACTGAGAAATACATGCGTCGTGATTCTCAAATGGAAGATTTCTGCCCACGGAGGAGGTCGGAATCACCTGGTGAGTATCGCATGAACCACACTCCCATACAGCACAGGGACACTATTTTCTGCTAGGAACTTGTAAATTACATAATCACCCACAGCCACTACTTGTTGGAGTTTTGTGGCCTTGGCTTGGGATTCTCAGTTCTCTCTGTGCTGCCCTCTCAATTCCAACTCTGCTTCCTTTCTCAGGCACCTCTTCATCTGCTTGTCCCCATCAACTCCAGTTTGGATCTGGCACCTACTTGCCTGTATTACGCCAACTCCCTGCATAATCTCATCTCTTCACTTCCAATGTTTTAACTCTTGCCAGAGTGCGGGCACCTCCCAAATCCATATCCCAGCACACTCCAAGGCAGTTACCTTCAAATTGGTCCACTCAACTGTCTTTTGAACATCTCCCTTAGATAATCCACAGGCTCAAAACTGAACTCATCCTATATGCCACAAACCTTGTCCCAGCAATGGTAATTACATCCACCCAGCTATCCAAGTCAAATTTTTGAAAATTATTCTAGACTCTTCTTTCTCCCTACAATATTTAGTCTCTGAGTCCTATTATCTCCTAATATTCCACACATCCCTTTCTCTGACACTTGGCCATCGCTAATCACAGACAGGCATTTTACCCACACTTCAACTATAGCTACAGGTTCCCAAATAGTCAACCCTTGGTTCTGACTTCTATCCATCCCCTCTCCTACCCCTCCCACAAGCTATTCTCCATATTAAAGCCAAAGCAAAGCACTGATCTGGTACCTGTACCTGACTCCCTCTGCTTTTCAACAGCTCCTCAGAGAAGGTACCAAACTCAACCCCAGCCTCATCTCCCGCCACCTCCTGACTCGCCCTTTAAGGTGTTCCTCGCCCTTCTTCTCCATCTTACTGCATATACCAGGAAAGCCCTTTGCATCTTTCTGTGCCGAGTTAACACTTGAAAGCCCTTCAGGACTCTGATCAAGCAATCAGTTCCTCCACTAAACCTCTCTAAAACCCTGAGCTCACAAGGTTCTATGCACGTCTCCTCCTTCTTATCATGCAGCATGTCAGTCCTACTGTGTGTGTGTGTGTGTGTGTGTGTGTGTACACGTGTGTGTCCCACAACATTCCAAGTGGCTCAGGAGCAGGGACTGTGTCTTCATTACATTTTTAATCCTGGCACAATGCCTCATACCCAATCAGCAAGCAATAAATATTTTTTGCTAAATAAATAAACATAATCATGTGCATTTTACTAATATTTTTTCAGTGGTCAAACTTTTTTACAGATAAATCAAAGGTACATTAAAAGCTAGTATAGGGCGGCGCCTGTGGCTCAAGGAGTAGGGCGCCGGCCCCATATGCTGGAGGTGGTGGGTTTAAACCCGGCCAAAAACTGCAAAAAAAAAAAAAAAAAAGCTAGTATTACAGAATTATTATAAATTTCTAAGTGATCTTAAATTAATATGAGGCTTAACAAGTACCCTTCTACTATCCCCTTATGCACTCCTCGCACAGTACTATATTATAAACTCAACAGCAAACCTTAACACAGGTTTCTTCCGTGTGGCAGCCATGCTAACATGTTACACTGGATACAATGTAAGTTATACACACATTCACTAAAATTCTACAATTAAAGCCAATTCAATTTACAAAAATTATATACAATTTCTTTTGTTCCAACCTACCCGAAAATTATCTGGGGAGCTCAAATGAAGTTTTCCCCTAATATCTTCAGAAGCCCCAGCACATAACCTATAAAAGATATGATAATTCCTTTCCTCTTTGCCTTGAACACAGATCCTAGATTTCTCCAGAAGATAATGCGAGACAAATCCTCCAACAACTGAACTCTAGAAAACAAAATGAAGAGAAACTACATTTACATTTAAAGTCTTAAAGTATAACTTACCAATATTAAATTATTTACCTTTTCTAAGAAACAATCAAAGAGGTTGTAACACTCTTCAAACAAAGGGAGGAAAGCAGATAATTATATATAAGCTTAGAGTACTTATAAGTCAGCCTCATCTGAAACATCCTCATGAGTCTCTACCTAGATCCTGTGAAGGTCTGAGTCTCTGATTTGACCTTGCGCGGTGCCTCAACATCAGTGCTAGAACGTCTTACAAGAAGACCACATGTTAATTAATGCTCAATGCTGAAGTCAAATCCACTGTTTGTGTAATAAATTGTAGGGGAGCTTTTGGCTGTCACAGTAAACATGTATATATTCTCCTAACCATCTACGTAACAGAGAAACATAAAGGCATTTACCTTAAGTTCAAGTATAGCACCAGTTCCATCAAGACCCTTGTATTTTTCGCAAATACTTTCCAAACCTGTCATCCCAAAACTCACTCTCACGTACCTTTTCATTGAAATGTATTTCTACAAATTTTCCAAATCGACTGCTATTATTGTTACGAACAGTTTTTGCATTTCCAAAGGCTTCTAACAGCGGGTTAGCTATTGAGAAATAAAAATATTCCATCAAAAAATGAGCATGAAGGAAAATTATAAAATAGTATTTATGGTATATCCCCATTTGTTAATAAACACATATAAATGGCTAAAAATGTTATAAAAAATAACATGAAAGAGTTCACATGTAATGTCAAATTCTAGAAAAGTTTATTACCCACTATGTTCAGGCACTACTCAAGTACAGAAAATAAGAAATTACTCAAAATACATTAAAAACATACAAATGTTATGAGAAAGACTAAATTTTAAGAAGTCACTAGGTCACAAAATATATAACTCAACTTTAAAAATTACTCTCTAAGAGTTTAAGCTTTTAACAAATACATAAGCCCTTTAAGAGTACTGAGTATAACAGATAAAGCTATAAACATCTTATCACAAAATAAAGGCAACAATGTTATTACTTTCCTAAAACATTTTGTATATTAACATAATCTCCAGATTTAACATTTTTACATGCACATTCAGTGAAATTTAACAAATTAAAAGTGGGGTTTTTTTGAGACAGAGTCTCACTATGTCACCCTTGGTAGAGTGCTGTGGCATCAAAGCTCACAGCAACCTCCAACTCTTAGACTTAAGTGATTCTCTTGCCTCATCCTCCCAAGTAGTTGGGACTACAGGTGCCCGCCACAATGTCTGGCTATTTTTTTGTTGTTTCAGTTATCATTGTTGTTTAGCTGGCCTAGCCAGGTTTGAACCCACCAGCCTGCGTGTATGTGGCCAACGCTCTACTCACTGAGCTATGGGCACCGCCAAATGAAAAGTTCTGTAGAAATACCTAAGAAAGGCTTTTATTTTATACTCTCTCTCTCTCACACACACACACACACACACACACACATTTACCATGACTGGCTAAGGATTACCAGAGTCTATTCCTTTTCCATTTTAAAAAAAAAATTATTGATACATAACAATTGCACACATTTATGGGATACACATGTTTTGTTACACACACAGAACAGGTAATGACCAAGTCAGAGCATTTATTACTTCTGTGTTGAAAACATTTCAAGTCCTCATTCTAGCTGTTTTAAAACATACAGTGTTGATAAGCACAGCAACCCTACTCTGCTATCAAATACCAGAACTTACTCTAACTATGTACACGTGTACTGATTAACTAACCTTTCTTTAACCCTCCTACCACCAGCGCCCCCAACACACACACACATCTTTCCCAAGTTCTGGGAACTATCATTCTACAGAATCTATTCCTGTACTCACCAGAGTCTCAACTGTAAATAGACCAGATGAGTGTCAATCTTACATACTCTCCACCAACAACCTCAAATTGCTTCACAAAGTCTGTCAGAATATTTACGAAGCCTTTTGAATCCATTTTCTTATTCTATATACAGGAGAAAGTCAACCTAGTCTCCAAACTCTTTTAAAGATCATTCCCAGACATTTCACTTGCCAAAATGAGTAAGAAATGATTAAAACTAAAAGAAATGTTATCATATAGTCTCCCCTTTTCAGATGGGCAGGAAAACTGAGGCCAACAAGGTCAACTAACTCAGAAAGCTACTGACTAGCTATTGACAAGAGGGGGGACTCGTAACAGGCAGAAAGAACATACTACCTTACCAATGGCCCATTAGTCTGTGCTGATGAATTTATTATAAATGAAATACGCCAAAAGAGTTTAAGAACTTCTCCATCAGAAAATCATATTAATATTACATGTATACTCATTCCAAAATCAACAACCAAATTTCCATCAAAGACAGTATCTTTTTTTTTTTTTTTTTTGGAGACAGAATCTTATCCTGTTGCCCTGGGAAGAGGGCCCTGGTGTCATAGCTCACAGCAATCTCAAACTCTCAGGCCCAAGCAATCCCCTTGCCTCAGTCTCTGAAATAGCTGAGACTGCAGGTGCCCACCACCACACCTGGCTATTTTTAGTAGCAACAGGGTCTCATACTTGTTCAGGCTGGTCTTGAACTTCTAAGCTCAAGCAGGCCTCCCAGAGTGCTAAGATTACAGGGGTGAGCCACTGTGCCTGGTCCTAAATTAATATTTCTAATGAAATCACACTATCTTAATTTTTTATTACTATAGTGCCCCATCATTCAAAGAGAAATGTTCCAAGACCCCCAGTAGATGCCTGAGACTAAGGCTAGTACTGAATCTTCTCTGCACTGTGTTTTTTTGATCCGATCACCTAGAGGGTTGGTTACTAAATGACTCATGGGACAAGGGTGGGGAGCATAGACAGAGCGGACACACTGGCAAAGGGAGAACATCCTAGGCAGAACACACTGGGACAGTGCGATTAAACATTTAAGAACTGTGGCTGGGTGAGGTGGCTCACCTCCACCCTGGTAACCCTAGCACTTTACTAGGCTGAGGCAAGAGGATTGCTTTAGGCCAGGAGTTCAAGATCAGCCTGAGCAAAGAATGAGACACCCTTTACTGTTCCCCTAACTTCTCCTCTTTACAAAAAAATAGAAAAATTAGTGGGCACCCATAGCTCAGGGGTTAGGGCACCAGCCATATGCTGCAGGCCAGTGGGTACGAACCTGGCCTAGGCCTGCTAAACAACCAAACAACAACATAAAAAAAAAAAAAAAAAGAAAAGAAACAGGGGTTGTGACTGGTGCCTTTAGTCCCAAATACTAGGGAGGCTGAGACAAGAGGATCGCTTGAGCCCAAGAGTTTGAGGTTGCTGTGAGCTATGATGACACAGCACTCTACTGAGAGTGACACAGTGAAACTCTGTCTCAATTAAAAAAAAAAAAAAAGAAAGAAAAATTTGCCAGGTGGTAGTGAGTACCTGCAGTCTCAGCTACCAAGGAGGCTGAGGCAGGTGGATCACCAGAGCCCAGGAATTTGAGGTTGCAGTGAGCTATGATGATATCACTACATTCTAGCTTTAGAGACAGAGCAAGAAGACCTTGTCTCTAAAAAGAAAAAAAATGAAAACTTATGAATAGTTATTTCTGGAATTTTCCATTTAATATTTTCACACCACTTTTGACTGCAGGTAACTGAAGCAAGGAAAGCAAAGCCTTAGATAATGCAGACTACTGTATTATAAGAAAGGTCAGGGAGAGATGGACCCTTCTAAGATCTAATTTGGAACTTGCTCAGTTTTGCACGTTCACATTTGTAAGTTAGCTTATATTTCACTCATTTAACTTTACAACTGCATGTGTGGTGGGAAGATGGGATTTAAGGATGGCATTGGAGGGGAGTTAGGCAGAGAAGAGCAGGCATGGGGGAACGTGTAAGACAGACGAGGAATGAGGGATCTCAGTTTAGTATGACTGGGATGATAGGAGTTGGGAAGATGTTTCACATTCTAGTTCACTTCTGTAGTGTTTGACTTTCATACAACTCTTCAACTTAAATCTGTTTAGGAAAAGACATTTTCCTTTTGAAAGAAGAAAGGTAGGGGAGAAACCACATTTCAGGGAATTCTGGAGAAAACTCTTAAGACAGTATCAAAAGGCCCTACCGCCTTTTGATTACTTCTGCTATTTATTCTCCGTTAGGGGCTGCAGAATCGTACTTCCCGACTTCCTCAACAGTAACATATTACGCGCAGCCCAGCAGGTTACCATGGAAGAAACTGGGCTGACCTCCAGCTCACAAGCCAGTCTGCACCTCAAGTAGGCAAGTCAGAATACTAATGAGTCTCTTCTGGAGTTAACCCATAATTTGTTCTTTTTTTCTGAATTTATTCAACTTTTAAGAATGATTCCTTCACTAATATGAGATGCTTGAACTATGAATAAAGCATTAACTATGAAATCCTCACAACTGAGTGTGTCGCAAAATCACAGTGAGGACTGTAAATAAAACTAGAAAATTCTTTATATTAAAAAACATGAAAATTTTTATTGACATGTAAGCAAAATATTAGATCTGGATGTAGATTCATCTACATACTAATTTTACAGCTGTGGAAAGCACACAAGTGTAATGTGTGATCTTGTAAAATACATGAACACAAAAATCCTCTAATATATATTTTTTTTTTTGAGACAGAGTTTTACTTTATCGCCCTTGGTAGAGTGTCATGACGTCACAGCTCACAGCAACCTCCAGCTCTTGGGCTTAGGTAGTTCTTTTGCCTCAGCTTCCTGAGTAGCTGGGAGTACAGGCGCCCATCACAACACCCGGCTATTTTTCTTGCAGTTTGGCTGGGGCTGGGTTTGAACCCCCGACCTCGATGTATGGGGCTGGTGCCCAACCCACTGAGCAACAGGCACTGCCCCCCTAATACATTTTTGTTCAAATAAATGGTTTTAAAATGTCTAAAATTTAAAATATGCGTTCAGTATGGCACGGGGCCAAGATGCCTAGGTATATAGCCCTGTTCCACAAATACGAGCTATACCATCTTCAGCAAGTTACTGAAACTCTTATTACCATCTCTGTTTTTCTTCTTTAAAGTGGGGATAAAATAATACCTACTTCATTCTTCAATATTAAAATTACAGAACAGCATTTAAGCAAATCAGATAATTCCTATTATATCACGTGTATGTGAGTATCACACCATTACTACAACACTGACTGAGTACCGAGTGAGGAAGGGAGGAAGGGAGGAGAAAGAGTGTCCAGAGCAGGAATGGGCCACACCGAGCACTTCAGGTGAACTCACACACTGGGGCATGACTTTAAGAACAATATGAGTGACTAGAAGATTTAAAGCGAAAGTGTTCAATCCCGCCTCCACACAGAGACTGGACTAAGAAGAAGAGTGTGAGTGAAGGGGAGTTGATAAGGCAGAAGGAAGGGTGCGGCTTCCACGTCATGGGAGCCCAGACCAGCACTCTCCAAACAGAGGCACAGGAGACTTTCTAGGAGCATAGCCAAGAAGGGAAAGCTTAACGAAATCCATTTACACACTCTTGTCTGCCAAGCAAACTCTTTCACTAAAATGATTTCTCCAAAAAGTTGGTTTGTTAACGTCAAACAACCCCTCTTCCCCTTCCCTTCTTTACAAAACACAGAGTCCACAAAACAAACGGAGGTCGGCAAGCTGCCTGTACTTCTTTCATTCATCCAACGGAATTTACGCCACTTGTCAGGCACAATCCCTGCCTTCTCAGCGCTCCCACGGGGTGGGGTGGGAGAGGGACCACAACATTAAATACATGAGAAGACAGTATCTGAGCCAAGATTTCTGGAGACAGGAGGGTCTTCTGCATGTTTGAGAAAAGAACATTCCAGACCACTGAACGGATTCTTGAAAGTTAATTTAAGAAGATGCATAATAATCAAAAATAAAAGTTAACAATACCTTCAACAATTCTATCATCAATATCTTGACCTGTTCCATAGGATTCAGTCAGGTATCTATTTAAAATATAAGATAAAAAAAAATGTGGATGACAATAATATCACATACGATGTAATTTTAATATTACTTAACACACAGAAAACTAAAACCTAGATCACCATTAGAACAATTTGTTGAAAAATTACCAATTTATGTTTGAATACAAACCATTTTGTGATAGCTTTTAAAATTTATTTAAAATTCTATTGGATTGTCTCTAATATTTAAGTCAGTATCATTTTTTAAAACTATTTTTGGAAATATTCTGATTTTCACCAACTATTTGGCTTTAAATATATTACATATCTATAGAAGTATGGGACTAATGGGTGTACTCATGAACTACATGAGATTCCAAGGCCTTTTGTCATAAACTATTAATTCAATCTTTATGGCTACAGAAAATACAGCAATTTGCCAATAAACAGCTGGGAAGTTATCATACTTCACGCTGTTACGCTGAAAGATAAAACACAATAGAATAACTATTTCCCTGGCACATTCCAAAGCAAAAAATAATCTTTGACTTACAAAATAAATCTACATTGTTAAGTTTACAGTTTAGCTTTTTGTTTGTTTTCATATATTAACCAAAGACTCACAACAGGACTATTATTAATACACAAAGGAGAGAAAGAATAAGAAACTGAGCCACTCAGAAGTCCCAGAGTACTGGAAAGTATTCATTTAACCAGAATACCACACGGGGTGGATATGAAGTTCATGTGCAATTTAAAATAGTTTAACATGGCAAACTGCACACGAACTGTTTGTCCACCCTGTGTATGACAGCCATTAACAAACTCTCGGCTGGAGTGCAGCGGCATGACCATGGCTCACTGCAGCCTTGAACTCCTGCTCTCAAGCAATCTTCCTGCCTCAGGCCCTGAGCAGCTGGGATTGTAGGTGACCAGCACAAAGCCCAGCTCATTTTTTAATTTTTTTTGGTGGGTTCGGGGTCTTGCTTCGTTTCTCAGACTGGCCTTGAGCTTTTGGCCTCAACCTGCCCAAAGACGTTCAACTGGTTTTAAATAAATAATTCCAAAAGGCACACACATTTACGTAATAAACAGCAAAACTGCAAAAATGGTTTGACCACACAGCAACCAACTAAGAACTCTGATACAGTAGGAATGTCCCTGGCGAATGTGCCGGTCCTCGCAGGAGCTCAGTGGGTGGACTTCACCTCCCTGGTGCGTAAATTATAAGCACAGAGCTATAGCAAGTGCTATGGTTCCTTCCACCTGTAAAACTCTATGATTCTAAACAAAACGTAGAGTTTAATTGATGGCAGTGAAGGGAACACTTCACCATGTGGAGTGTAGAAATAAGGCAGAAAAACTATCCTAAGTTTCAGGTAAAAAATGGCTTCACAACCAAACCAACAGCAGAAACACTGAGAATAGAATGCAGATGTTGGATTTTGAAGGAACATGCCTCGATTTTCCTCTGGCCAACCAGTACTGGTGTCCTCCAGGATCCCCGTGTGACTAACATGGCAGAGCTGGCTCACAAAAATCTGTGGATCAGCTTCCATGCCCGGGGTCTGTATCTTAAAAGGCATAGAGCCCACAGCATTCCAAACTATGTCCTCAAGTGTGCTAAGGTGTGCATTAAAAGTCAACCTGTTCAAATCCGCAAAGAAATACTGCACACCTATGCTCAGAGCAGCACTATTTATTGACACAAAAGCCAAGAGGCAAAACAACCCAAGAGTCCATCAACAAATGCCCGGAATAACAGAGTGTGGCATGTACCTGCAATGGAACAGTAGCCTTAAAAAGGAAGGAAAGTCCGGCACACACTACAACATGGATAAAACTTAAATAAAGCCAGTCAGGGAAAGACAAATACGGGGTGATTCTGCCTACATGAAGCGTCCAAAATAGGGAAATCCACAGCAACGGACAGAAATCCACAGGGAAATCCAATAGGGAAATCCACAGGGAAATCCACAGGGAAATCCACAGGGAAATCCACAGGGAAATCCAAAATAGGGAAATCCACAGAACGGTGGTTGCCGGTGGGGGGAGCGGAGAGATCAGCCGCCGCCCGAGGCAGGTTCCAGCTCTGCACAGTGGTAAGCCCTGGAGTTGTCCACACAGCAATGTGAGCACACTGAACACTGCAAGCTGTACACTAGAAATGCCTGAGATGACAAACCTTCCATCGTGCATTTTTTAACCAAAACAAAAATATTCAATCTGTTCAAAATAGGTCATGTCAGCTGAATACTCACCTTAGAACAAATTTTGTATTTTCTGTTTTGCCAGCTCCGGACTCTCCGGATACAATGATAGACTGACTCATCTTGAGCACCTTCATGTCTCGAAAAGCCTTATCAGCTGCGGTCAAAATACCACATCAGGGATGAATACATTAAATACAACAGTTACTAAACGATAGTTCACTTTAGAAGCCCTTGCTCTTAAAAATATAAATGTGTGTTTACTGTTAACGAAATTTTAAAATGAAATCACTCGGAAGTGTTTAAAACACCTCTAGAAGTATTTACTTTCAATGTTCTATGTCCCTACCCGTAGGTAACATGAAATCCAAGCAAACAACAACAAATTAAATCTGTGGTGGAGTCTCCACAATTACGAGCTGCCGCTCGGCTCTCCCTAATACCAAAGCAGATCTACAGAGGGATAAAAAATGCTCACTATGCGTAACTAATGAAGTCCCCAGTGAAAAGCAAGAAATCACGAGTTTCCAATTAAGAAATCTGGCAAGCAAAAATTCTGCTGGAGGAAAAAAAACATAATTGCAAAATAAATTCACGGGGTTGTTTTTCCTGTGATGCTATTAAATTTAAACATCTTGCAGAATCTATCAGCATTTCAAAGATGGGCAAAATTAACTACTTTAGATTTCCTAGATTTGCCATTGGTTATACATGTAAGTTATTTTTTATTTTGTTTTAGAGACAGAGTCTCACTTAGTCGCCCTTGGTAGAGTTCTGCGGCATCGTAGCTCACAGCAACCTCAAACTATGGGCTCAAGAGATCCTCTTGCCTCAGCCTTCCAGGTAGTTGGGACAGTGCCTGCCTATTTTTTAAGCGACAGGGTCTTGGCTCTTGTTCAGGCTGGTCTCAACTCCTGAGCTCAGTCAATCCACCCACCTCAGCATCCCAGAGTGCTGGGATTACAGGTGTGAACCACCGTGTTTGGCCCTTATACATATAATTTTTAACTGACTTCATTACACTCTCAACAATTTAAGCTATAAAATATCCCAAATTTTAAGACTACAAAGAATAAGTTTTAAATAATTTTATGCTGGTAAAGCAATCTCAAAACAATCTTAATTCAAAATTAGTGCCTGACCAATTTGGCTTCTAAAGGACTATTTCTCATCTTGGACCACGTGATGAAGAAGGCCACCCATGCCCATGAAGAAGGCTTTCACTCTGAGAAGAGAGTGCAAGTCACATGCAAGGGTACAGACATCCCTTACCCCTCTGTCCAATTATCAGCAACCTGTTCTACCCACTTTTATAGAATCATTCCAAACAGTTTTCTTTTTTTTTTTTTAGCAACAAAAGGCTAAAACTAAAAGCTGACTCATTTACATTTCAAATATCCTGCTTCTCTCCAGGGATAAGTTTTCTCACATTCAGGTTCTAAGGATTGGGCACCATTTTGTAAGCTGATAAAAAATATACTGATGCCCATCAGAACTTCTTACAACCAAAATTAAATTTGCTGTGGCCCTGAAGGTGGCTGACATATTCACTCGGCCTGGTAGTACCTGGCACACAGGGCAACCACATCTGGGCATGAAGCCCTGCTAGGCCAAAACATGACCGTGGCAGGAAAGCCCAAAGAGAAACAGACCGCACTGCAAACCAGCACTAAAACACGTCATTTAGCCGCTGGTTACATCTGCCACCGCTGCACTCGTGGGGGCAGGGGCAATTTCTACTTCTGATTGATAACTGTATCTCTCTGCCTCAGAGCTTCGAGATGAGAGACAGGCTGAGAAAGGCATGGACACAACTACTGTCTTCCCACAAAGACTCTCCAGCAGGATGAAGCATATGCCGACTACAGTCCCTCAGTTCTATAAAGCCCTGATGCAAGCTGACGCACGGGAGTCTGCTCCTGCAGCTCAGACCTAGCCCAGGCCACATGCTCACAGAGGATGCGCTGATGGGCAGGACAAGTCAGGAAACCCTGGAAGAGGCACCTTTAAGGTGAGGCTTGCCATGCTGAAGGGTCAGTAAGCACCAGTGGCTCAGCTTGTATTAAGTCCTACTTTCAACTGGGCAAATATGCCTAAGAGAACACAGGCGTTTAACAAAGATTATGATGAATCACTGTCCCATGAGTTGGCTATAAAAGTATGTTTCCCCACCTGTGTGAAATGCCTACTCCTAACAATGCTGACACTGTACCCGGGATGCACACACATCAATCAAAACATACATTCAATTCATGCCATTTTTCATTAACCCAGAAGAAAAACTAAGTAAATCTGTACACAATACAAGGGAAGAATTAAAACACAACTGAATCACTTACCAATGGCAAAGACATGAGGTGGCATTGTCCCAAGTGATTTTCCTTGATATGACTTTATTGTTTCTGAGGAATATATTTTAGGTATGTCAAAATACGGGTTCACTGCGATCAGAATGTTGGCGACATATGTCTGCAGAAGGAAAGAGTCAACATAAAACTGTCCAATTACTTCTTTCATTTAAAGATAAATAAGGTTTACAGGAGAGAGAAATAAAACACAGCAAAGTTTAATTCTCTAAATGACCAGGATAACCAAATTGGCCCTAAATATTCCCTGGCCTCTATAGGGAACAGTCCTCTACCCCTGGAATATCCATATCTTCTCACCCCCAGGCACGTGAAACTCAGCATATCCAAAGCCAAGATTATTTCTTCCCACCTAGCTCTGCCTCAAAGAAAATATTTCCCGCCCACATGCTGTCCCAGGTGCAAGGCATCACCACCAAGTCACCGCAGGCAGACAGGGAGACAGAGATCTCCGTCCCATTTGGGCTGCTTCTGTTGACTCTACTTCAAAATCCACTCCCCTCCTTCTATCTGACACCTGAACTTTAGTGATCTCTGTTCCTCCCGTACTTCATTCACCCTACTAGTGAAGAGTTTAATATTTATTGAGTGTGGGACCCTCTGAGCTCAATCCCCTCACTGAATGCCAAGGCTGATTTAGCTCTGAGGTGAACATTAGGTCCCAGATTTCTGCAAAGGAACATATGCTAACCATCGCCTAGAACACTGGCGGGTTAAATATTTAATGAGCAACTTAAGCTCGCTTTTAAGTTTGGAATTCGGCACACGTAAGATGCTCAACGTGAGTCAGCTGAGTGGATTTTGCTTATTTCTACTCAAGAATGGACATTTAAACCTAAATACAGCTTTTATTGAGTTGATTATTTTTTTTAAATCAAGGGAAAAAGTAAAGTCTTCCTACTGTATACAACCAGAACATGGCAAGTAACTGCCTCTGGAGTAGACTTGATGAGTTCTATTTCCCAGCTGTCACTACTTGGACAGATGGCAAAGACTAAATGTAATTTAGTCAGAATTAAGTAAGTACAATTAGGCAAATTGATAGTGATATAGAAGATCAAGACTGTCATTTGATCTAGTAAGTGTCAAAGAAACCATGTGTTTTCTTCGTTCAAAAATAATGAAGAGTCCCAGCTTTATAACAGAGAACTAAAGTGGGGTAATTTATCCCTAGCCAACAAAAGAATCTACGACTAGGTGTTATTAGAATAAAACCTCATACATGCTCAATGAGTAATTATAATTAAAACATACTAGTTAAGCATCATCTGAATGATTTAGTATAAACCCTATTTACATAGAAAACACTATGTTTCAATTTTTAATATCTAGATTTTTAAAATAGGATAATTAAATTATAATTAAAACATACTAGTTAAGCATCATCTGGATGACTTAGTGTAAACCCTGACTATTTACACTGAAACACTGTGTTTCTGTGTTTCTTTCTTTCTTTGAGACAGAGCCTCAAGCTGTCACCCTGGGTAGAGTGCTGTAGCATCTCAGCTCACAGCAACCTCCAACTCCTGGGATTAAGTGATTCTCTTGCCTCGGCCTCCCAAGTAGCTGGGACTACAGGCACTCGCCACACCTGGTTATTTCTTTTCTTTTTTTTTTTTTTTTTTTGATTGTAATTGTCATCGTTGTTTGGCAGGCCCAGGCTAGATATGAACCCACCAGCTCTGGTATATGTGACTGGCGCCCTGGCTGCTTGAACTACAGATGCCCAGCCCTGTGTTTCATTTTTTAATATCTAGATTTTTAAAATAGGGTAAGTAGGGTTTAATAAATACTATAACTCTTTAGGCTTCTCGATCAGCATTTCTGTGTTGATACTTCCTCAGATACAGCCTTCTATTCTAATTTACACTTTTTCTCACATAAATTTTTAACTTCAATATACATTGCTTACAGGTTACCTTATATTCTCTACAGAACAATGTGGAAAGTGAAGTAATTAAACAGACCTAAAGACATAGACCAAACTAAAAAAAAAAATCAAAACTCAAAATCACAATGGTTTTTAAAGACTCAAATCGGATATTTTTAAGTCTAAAAGATATTAGATGAGCTCGGAATTCATTTGATTTCAGTAATATTTATTAAGTGCCTATTTTGTACCAGGCTTGTTGTTAGCCCTGGAGTTAGAGCAGTAAACTAGAAAAACCCTTGTCCTCAGGGAACTCACAGTCTATTCAACAAACTCAGATCAGGCAGCATTTTCTGATAGAAAATTTTACGCTTGACAAAAATCAAACCATATCATGTAAAATTCAAACCATACGTAAGTTACTTACATAAATTCTGTCTTTACTATATCGAACTTTGATATTATGAAGGAGTGTGGCTTCATTTAAATACATTAATGAACCTAAAACATAAAATTTGTAAATCATTAGATAATTGAAGAAAAAAGTAAAAGAGAACAATACTATCTTAATCTGAAATCAGTTTGATCTAACCTAAAATTCACCTATTAGGTTAAATTTAATTCCATCTTTTTAAAACCTCGGTCTATGTAAATCTCAGAGGATGATTTAAAATGTGTCTCAGTTATATTACATGTTACTGTGATATTTTAAATAATGGATTTCCAACGAGGAGAATATAATTAGTAAGTGCCAGTTACTACACATTGATGGAGGCTGGTTACCACCGACGGCTCTAATTTAATACACTTCTGACATAACAGTGGTGAAACTACTCCAGTTTGATGCTTATAATCTTATTGATAAAACACAAAAGATAAAATTTAGAATGGAGATGGAGCATCAGATCCTTCAGTCAGTCCCTCACAACTGACATTATGAAATCAGTCTTAGGGAAATGATGTCTTAAACCAGGACATGAAGGTAACTAATGGCAGACTCAGAACAGGTATCTTGTTTTTCTGATGTCTGTCCTCCGAAGCTGACAGAGTCGACTCCCAGTCTATTGTCCAACCCTCCAATCCTCTGAGCTGTACCCAGCCTGGAGCTGCAGGACACAAAGACCACTCCTGACTGGACAGTGTTATCGGCCACCCAAATCGCAAACCTCAATCAGCACCAGAAATGTCTCCTCTCTCCCAGTTTCCAAGTATTTATGACACGTGAAAAAGTACAGTCTAGTACCAAACTCAGCGTGAACACTCAGACGTCAGTATGGCCTGAATCTCTGCTGTTCTCTGTTCTCTCCACTTCTACTGCCTCAAACCCCACTGAGGTCTCGGTACCTCTTATGTACCTATTGCCCCAGCCCCTCTCCTCTCTAATCCGCACTGCTCAGCACATGAACAAGCTACAGCCCTCATTAAATCTCTCTTCTTAGGAAATATCAGCGGGTCTCTCTCTACTGTCTATGCCCACAGTTAAGCCCGATCAAGGCTCTTACTGAACCTCCATTCATAACCTTCTCATATAATTTTCCACAACTCACTTTAATATGGTCAGACTTGTAGGAAAACTGAACTATTTATCAAACTCAGGTATCATACATGTGTCAGCTACCACCTGGAACATCCTCTGGGAGTCAAAAATCTACCTGTCCTTTAAGGTCAAGTTCAAAGATTATCTCATAATCGATACTTCCCCATTCTCACCACCAACACCAAAACTACTCCCGACTCTGTTTATGTTGCTTGCCACATACTGCCAGTACGATGCTGAAGGCTTACACATCTGGTTTTGGCTGCTGAACCAGATTTGTGAGGGCAGGACGCTGCCTGCTTCATTTGTTTGAGTGACGCCTCACTGAAGTCACACTCTTGCCCCCACTGCATGGTGTGCTTAATAACATAACTCAACACTGGACCAGAACTAACAAACAAAAGCCTCTGTTACACCAACCTCAACAAAGGCTGCCAAGCTCTCTGCACTCGTGTCATGCAGCCAGTTCACCTTCCAAGGACACACACCTCTCTGCTTTCTACTGCTACTCAGGATGGAATAAAAGCAAGCAAGAAGTGAGTAGACTCCTCACAGCTTTCTTTGGAAGGGCAGCTTTCTTTGACTTGAGGAAGGATTTGGAGCAAGGCAGGCAGCAGAGGGGTATCTGGTCACCTACATTTTAACAGCTCTGCTATTCCACCCTCGTTTCACAGAGCCTGGTCAGCACGCAGCTCTCTAACCAAAGCAATCTGTTGAACCACTCCGCTATCTCTCACCTGCCTCCAAAATACCTGTTGATGGCACTCTCTCTGCTTTCTCTAAGAACTCCTAATCCTACAGTACACCCCCTACAGTACACACCCATCCTACAGTACACCTACAGGCTAACGGTAAAAGCCTGGACTGATCAAAGCTCGGCCTCCTTTCCCCACCTCCTGCCACGCTCACCACATGCCTTCTCAGAGATGCCTGCCTGGTAAAATATCTCCCAATGTCAACGAAAATTTGGACAAGAGGGTCTTTCCCTTAAATCATGCTACTCAGGCTATTCCATATTCATGAGGTTATGAAAAAGGAAAAACAGGAAAAGTCTGCAACCCTTGGTTTGCTGAAATGAAAGTCTTAACCGCCTGCACCTCCCTAAAGGTGTGACCTCGGAAGGTTCACACAGGTCTCAGAAATGGCTTTCCGGCTCCACCTAATAATCCCTTCCTGCAGTACTCCCCTGGTACTCAGCTCTCGGATTACTTGTTTGGCTATTTGCTCGCAAGCTTTCTTGTGAACTGTTTACCTTTTATGCCTCATTATTCACAGATTTAACTATATTCAAACGAACATTAAATTTTTTTTCTTTTTGAGAGTCTCACATTGTTGCCCTGGGTAGAGCGCCATGCGTCACAGCTCACAACAACCTCAAACTCTTAAGCAATTCCCTTGCTTCAGCCTCCCAAGTAGCGGGCTCTACAGGTGTCCGCCACCCACCTGGCTATCTTTAAAGACAAGATCTCACTCTGGTTCAGGCTGGTCTCCAACCTGTGAGCTCAGGCAATGCACCCACCTCGGCCTCCCACAGTGCTAGGATTACAGGCATGAGCCACCACACCCAGCCAAGAACATTAAAATTTTAAAGACAATTTTTAAAATAACACATAATAAAAGACTACACACAATTTGTTTCTTTATAAACATGTTGGCATAATAAATAAATATATAACAAACATATGGAAAAGTTGCTAATGAAGACTAGATGACTTCATTGTTCAATTTAAGGATCTAAATAAGAAGTTATCTGAGCATTTAAGACCTTGCTTAATTATTATAGCTTCTGTTCCCTGAAAGAGAAAAAGAACCCACAAACTTCAATACAGAAGTCAATCAATTCTAAATTTATATCTCATTACTGAAAAAGAGACTGAACAAGGAAACTTTTAGGATTCTCATTTTAGACTCTTTGTTATACTCAACAGCTAACAGGTAATAATTTATGAAGAATACTTTGTGCTATGTAGGTAATTGTAGCTTAAAATTGGCATAAATGCTATTATTTTCCCTTTAATTAGTGACTTCACATCCCTGAATTATTTTCCGGTACTAATGACCAATAGTCAACTAAAGAAGTAAAATTAACATACTAATCTCTACATATAAAATTCTTCCTAGAGAAAACTTAGAGCTGAAAGTAGATAATGAATTTCGCTACACGGTTAGGACACCACCAAAAGACATCTGTCTCTGTTTCCACAGAACCTTTACCGCATACTTCACAACACTCGGACATCAATCATTTAATCATTGCATTATTACAATAATACAGAGAAAAAGATTTGGAAACCTGTGTGAGACCCAAAAAGGTACTGCCCCGTATCACTGGCAGAGGACAGTAGTGGAATGCGGCAAGCCCCAGGCAAAAGGACGAAGTGATGGAACCAGTTCTGCTGGAAAACCTACATCCTCAACTCAGCATTTAAAGACGCATTAGTGGCAGGGTTTCAGAAAAGGGACTTCTGGTTCCCAGCCACGCGTTAACCCTGTGCCACCGAGCAGCATCCAGGAAACACCTAGCAACGCAGCAAACCCACACTAAGGCTGAGAAAACACACCAAGACGAAGGGGACAAAGGGGGGCTTTTAAAATACTGATGTAAGAAATATTAAAAGTAAGTCAATTTATTATATTTAGCTACATATACCTTAAAGTCCAAAAAGGATTAATCTCTAGTTCTGCACACTCTGCAAAGTTTTAACAGAAAATAATTTTCTCCTATTTTAGGTTTGATATAGTCTCATTCCTCTTTTTATTTTGTTCTGATTGCTGTTTAAAAATGTATTAACTAGGCTCAGAGCCTATAGCTCAGTGAGTAAGGGTGCCGGCCACATACACCAAGGACGGCAGGTTTGAGCCCAGCCCAGGCCTGGTAAACAATTGACAACTGCAACCAAAAATAGCCCGGCACTGTGGCAGGCACCTGTAGTCCCAGCTACTTGGGTGGCTGAGGCAAAAGAATCGCTTAAGCCCAAGAGTTTGAGGCTGCTGTGAGCTGTGACACCACAGCGCTCTTGAGGGTGACATAGTGAGACTCTGTCTCAAAAAAAAAAAAAAATTTATTAACTAAGCTGGGCACAGTGACACGCTGCTGGCAGACTGAGGAGAGAAGATCACTTGAGCCCAGGAGTTCTAGACCAGCCTAGCCCACACAGTGAGCCCTCATTTCTAAACAGAATAAAACAGGCCAGGTGTGCGGGCTCATATCTATAATGCTAGCACTCTTAGAAGGCTGAGGTAGGAGGACTGCTTGAGCTCAATCAAGAATATGAGATCAGGCTTGGCGCCTGTGGCTCAAGCTGCTAAGGCGCCAGCCACATACACCTATGGTGGCAGGTTCGAATCCAGCCTGGACCCACCAAATAATAATGACGGCTGCAACCAAAAAATAGCCAGGCATTGTGGCGGGCGCCTGTGGTCCCAGCGACTTGGGAGGCAGGGGCAGGAGACTCACTTGAGCCCAGGAGTTGAAGGTTGCTGTGAGCTGTGATGCCACAGCATTCTATCCAGGCGGACAGCTTGAGGCTCTGCCTCAAAAAAAAAGAAAAAAAGAATATGAGATCAGCCTGAGCAAGAGTGAGACTCCATCTCTATAAAGATAGAAAAACTTAGCCTGTGGTTGTCATAAGCACCTGTAGTCCCAGCTGCTTGGGAGGGTGAGGCAGGAGGACTGCTTGAGCCCAGGAGTTTGAGGTTACTGTGAGCTAGGCCGAGGCCATGGCACTCTAGCCTGGAGCAACAGAGCGAGATTCTATCTCCAAAACAAAGATAAATGAATGAATAAATAAATACATAAAAATAAAAATCTCATCAAACAAACTCTTTCACAATTTTAGAAAGAAAAGGATCTCCATCTTTTTTTTTTTTTTCAATCTCTTGCACCTGATAGTAACACCTACTATTTACGGGGAGACTGTTAAAAGTCAGGCACTGTGCCAAGCATTTAATTTATTTTTTTCTTGTTCTTTTTGAGATGAGTCTCACTCTGTTGCCCTGGGTAAAACACTGAGGGAGGCATCATCACAGCTCACAGCAACCTCAAACTCTTGGGCTCAAGAGATCCTCTTGCCTCAGCCTCCGTAGTAGCTGGGAGTACTGTTGCTGATCACAAAACCCAGTGAGTTTTCTATTTTTAGTAGAGATGGGGTCTAACTCTTACTCAGACTGGTCTCAAACTCCTGAATTCAAGCAATCCACCCACCTTGGCCTCACAGAGTGTTAGGATTACAGGCATGAGCCACCGCGCCCGCCAGTGTGCCAAGCATTTTCAATACGTCATCTCTAAGCACACAACACAGACATTATCACTCCCATTACACAGCTGAGAACCTCAGAAGGCGGAGGAACTGCCCACGGGCACATAGCTTCCTAGTGGCACCATCAGGATCAGAATTCTGCTGCTGAACTCCACAGGCCAGGGCTCTCCTATTACCCTCCCTAGTCCAGGCTGCCCATTTACAGAGAGGACTCTTCCAGGCTTACTCAAGTGAAACTCCAGAGAAAATCAGTAAGAACTTTCTCCTTTTTCTTTAAGTGGAGAGTTTGTTAGATACCTTTAATGAAATTCATGACAACTGCACATGATTCTCAAATACTGCACCCCCACCAAATGAAATAAGATTACTGCTTAATCTTGAAAATGTGGAAATAAAATGGCCTGCTCAGTAAAGGTTTTTGTTGCCAACATGCTATTTGTAGTCCAGTTAATACTGTATTTTACTATGATGTCCTGAAATAAATTTGTCAATTAGTAATTATTAAACAGTTTGGGAGGTTGGGGGGGCTGAGATAGTTTCCTTCTGCTTCCTGGGCTAGAGCACAGTGGCTTCATCATCACTCACTGCAACCTTAAACTCCTGGGCTCAAGCTTCCTGAGTAGCCAAGAGTGCAGAGAAACGACCACACCTGGCTAATTTTTCTATTTTTTCTAGAGACAGGGTCTCACTCTTGCTCAGGCTGGTCTTGAACTCCTGACCTCACGCAATCCTCCTGCCTCAGACTCCCAAAGTGCTAGGATTATAAGAGTGAGCCACCACATGCAACCATTAAAGCAGTATTTCTGAAAAATATATGCTTTAAACACTGACACTAAATAACTCTTACTGACTCAACTTCCAAATTACTAAATCACACATTCTACTATGAAAATCATCTGGCCCCAGACGAGGTTCAAAATCACCTTCAAAACCACTAACAAGAGACCTTTAGTTCAAGCCTCTTATAAATTATTACTATTCCCCACATTTGCACAACTGAAATAACACTAAAAGGACATTCAAGACATTCAAATGTGAGACATAATAAACTCAGGCCTTCTGAGTTTCTCCATTTGCTTGAACCCTCGTGTCAAAAACCTGGAATTCTTTTCAGAACTAGGGTGGTATGCCAGTAGCATGAACACTAATTTATGTTCTGAAGAACAGTTGCTTTTCTGTGCTAAGAACTAATTTTTAACTTGATACTTACAATTATCTTCCACATCTTTTTTACTGTCCTCTTCTGCAGGGAACACTTGGTTTATGAGAGCCAAAAATGTCTAACAAGCAAAACAAGAGCTCATTAAACTTGAGGCTTGTAAACAGTAAGAAAAATAAAGTATAATTGGTTGCATACTTTGTAATAATGCCAACAATATGCTCTTTATTAAAAAATAATATAGACCCTACAATTTAACAATTCATTAACCCAAAACCAAGAGACTAGCTTTACTTATAAATATCATCTACTGTTATCACAGGCATGAAATCAATAATGGAAATTAGTAAATAAGCATCCTAGGCTCTAACTCCTAAAATGGAAAGAACAAGAAGTATATTTATATCAAAACTTTACACAGAAATGCCATTTAAAAACTTTTGGAAATTTTAATATTTGTATACAGTAATTTTATTGTTTCTAAAAAGAAAAAAATAACATTCAATCAGATATAACAACAGAATAGACTATTAATAAATGCTATTGTTTGAATAAAACCTATTTGACACAAATGCCTACACAAAAGTGTCAGAAATATAAATAGAACAGAAAAACATCTGATTCATAAAATTAAAGGTATCCATGAATAAATTTCCACTTCTTTTACCACTTAAATGCCGTGGTAGACGCCACGGAATTAAGATAGCATCTTGTAAGAGAGAACAAATGATCTCAAATTACATCTGAAGAGAATTAAATTTTAATCCATGTCATTCTAATAGTTATTTATAAATTTATGCAGTACTTCTCAAACAATTACAGCTACTCTTATGGTTGAAATTTCCAGCCATATCAAATAAAACTTTAAGGAAAATGGCTGAATTAATTTAAAATAATATTTTTAGGTCTCTCTCTGTGTACGTACAGATATGCAGGAGTATAAGGCAAGGCCACCACTGAGGCACAGAGTTAAGACAGGCGGTCAGGACGACCTCAGTTCAAAGTCAGACGCAACTTACAAAACTGTCATGTGGAATCCACTGCACAGGTTCTCACTGTTACAAATGTAAAAATGTTTGTAGGATAGATAACAAAGGTAAAATTAATCCATAATGTGTGTTAAGCATATTAACAGTAACATAAAAGAATCTATAATTTGTAACAATGATTCTACAGGAAAATGCATTTGGAAGTAACTGCTAACGCCACACTCTGACGTGTGTGCCCCCTTTCCACAGCCATGGCAAAGCAAGCAGGGACTCCTCAGGTCGGACCGGACTCCAGGGAGAAGTTCCAGCCTGTCGGCAGCCACCCAAATAAAAAGGCTCCAGGAGGTTAGCAGAGGGGGGGCCGAGGGAGGGCAGTGACAAGGTGGAGATTCAGAGCTGTGTGAAGGTCCAGTGACGAGTCCTGGAAGATGCTTCTCATTCTCCTCCTTCCTGCCCCAAATCACCACCAGCCCCGTCTTCCTCTTCCCATCAACAGAAAATCTGTTTCATTAAGACAATTGTTTCCTCTTAGCAGGAAGGGGCTTTTTTTTCCTATAAAAAGGTGACAGAATAGATAAATAAAACAGCCCCTAAACTTGAAGATAAGATAGTCCAGCAGGGAGTGGGAGCTGAATGTAACCCATCATCCCTAATAAAGATTACAGGAGAGCTAAGAATTTATACCACTCCTCAAAGCAAAAAATAATCAATTGTATCGCATGGGAGGAAGGAAAGAGTATCCGAGGGAAAACTTCAAAACCAAGGTGACCTCAGTCTGACTCTTAAAAGAAAATAAGTGTTCGCTAAGCAAAGGGCCATGGAGAGTGGCCCTGCAGGCAAAAGGAGCATCGTGAGCGACCATAGGAAGCAGCCAGCATTGCCAGCGTCACGGTGAGGGTGGACAAACACTGCAGAGGAGAACCAGCGTGCGGAGTAAGTGTGCAGTGAGAGTATGAGGGGGAGACCGGACAGGACGTGAGACCACAAAGGGGACAAGGAGAAGACAATTCCGACCTTCCGTGCCGCATGGGTACGGCTTCAGCCTGTAGGTCAGCCTGCTGCAAAGATGGAATATGAAATCAATTCAGAGGGTCAAGAGAGCATCGCTAACAAAATAAAAGGTATTAGAAAACAGCAGACTGTACAGCATGTGCCACGGGTGCTGCACTTGACCAACCGTTTCATTTGTAAGCACACGTGCGACTCACACCACTGACGTGCACACTTGATCGTTTTAATAATTTGCCATCTGTAAGTGTACAGATCAGTGGTAAATACATTTACATTCTTCTTCATTCTTCTTCTCTCCTTTCCCTCCTCCCCCATTCCGTATAAATTCTCACACACACACTGCCTGATGCAATGTAAAATCATTTCCTTCTCTAAACTAAAAGCTTGAAAAGCCACTGTTCCTATCAAAGGTGTGTCCCCTCCCTCAGTGATGCGCCCACTGTACCAGCGCACAGGTGCCCCCAACTGGCCTCTTGCTTTAGGCACTTAATTCCTTGATGACATTTTTTTTTTTTTTTTTTTTGAACCAGAGCCTCAAGCTGTCCCCCTGGGTAGAGTGCCATGGCATTACAGCTCACAGCAACCTCCAACTCCTGGGCTCAAGCGAGTCTCCTGCCTCAGCCTCCCAAGTAGCTGGGACCATGGGCGCCCGCCACAACGCCCGGCTATTTTTTTTTTGGTTGCAGCCGTCATTGTTGTTTGGTGGGTCCGGGCTGGGGATTCGAACCCACCACCTTAGGTGTACGTGGCTGGCGCCTTAGCCGATTGAGCTATAGGTGCCGAGCCTCCTTGATGACATTTTAAGGCTGGTGATCTCGGACCATCAATGATCTAAGCAAGAGACTGCTCCTCTTACGGATCTATTTAACAATCTGATTATTATTACACTGCTTATTAACACAGGATTAGAAAGTAGGGGAAGAAAGTTAAGATTAAAAGTAACCCCTGAGGGGACCTCACCTATGTGCATGATGCAATGGTACATTTCAAAACTATTAAGAAATGAGTATAATTGTGATGGATGTGTTAGTTCAATGTAAGCATTTCACACTGTATATCGAAGCAGTACCCTGAACCCCATAAATGCATCAGTGTATAAAGTTACAATTTAATAAAAATTAATAAAAATAAAAGTAATCCTTGGCTCAGCGCCTACAGCACAGTGGTTACGGCACCAGCCACATACACCAAGACTGGAGGAGTTTAACCCCGCCTGGGCCAGCTAAACAACAATGGCAACTGCAACTAAAGATAGCTGGGCATTGTGGCAGGTGCCTACGGTCCCAGCTACTTGGGAGGCTGAGGCAAGAGAATCGCTTAAGCCCAAGAGTTTGGGGTTGCTCTGAGCTGTGACGCCACAGCACTCTACCGAGGGTGACATAGTGAGACTCTGTCTCAAAAAATAAATAAATAAAAATAAAAATAAAAATAAAAAGTAATCCTTGAGGGCAGCACCTATGGCTCAAAGGAGTAGGGTGCTGGCCCCATATGCCAGAGACGGCGGGATCAAACCCACCTCCAGCCAAAAACTGCAAAAAAAAAAAATAATAATCCTTGAGAATTTGTTAATCCTCAGAAAGGATTTCTGTGGAAAGCATCTTCCACTTTAGTTTACAGAATTACCTACAGATCCATAAAATTTGCATGACTCCCTAATTTAAACTGTTTTATTAGTGTTTACATATGCTCCTGACTAATAAGGCACAGCTTAAAGCACATTAAAATATTTGAAATATGAAAACACATATCCCCACAAATCAAGTTTCTTCTATATTTGAAATGAATTATTTTGTCATCTGTGGCTATAACAGAATATTAGGGAATATACCCTTCATTTCATTTTGGCCTTCTGATTTACAATGCTCATAAAATATTTTAAATAAAAATCAAAAGGCTTTGGCTAGGTGCAGTGGCTCACGCCTGTAATCCTAGCACTCTGGGAGCCTGAGGCAGGTGGAGTGCTTGAGCTCAGGAGTTCGAAACAAGCCTGAACAAGAACAAGACCTTGTTTCTACTAAAAATAGAAAAATTAGCTCCACGTCACGGCAGGCACCTGTACTCCTAGCTACTCGGCAGCCTGACGCAGGAGGATCTCTTGAGCCCAGGAGTTTGAGGTTGCCATGAGCTATGATGATACCAAAGCACTCTAGCCTGTGTCCACAGAGTGAGACTCTGTCTCAGGAAAAAAAAAAAAACCAAAAGACATTGAACATAAAAAGTAATTGGGCTTATTGTTCTAATCCTTTCTTTTTTTAACACGTATTGCATTGTAAGTACAAATAGATCCCTGTTAATAAGAGGGAAAAACCAGAAACATTTGTCGTTCCTTTCCTAAGGGTATCTTTAATTGGCCACCTCTAACATGGCACATTATAGTATGCATTTCAGGTCCTGGGTTGTTTACAGTAACAGAATAGTTTTCTCTGTGAAAAGACCTCAAGAGAGATCCACCTTGTTTTTCTAAGGTTCCCAGAAGGATAGCAGTCATATGGCATTAGTTAACTAAGTATCAGCAGAGTATAAATTATTCATGAACTTGTGCGGTCTAAAGTAAACAAATGACATCCACAAATTTCATTTAGTCAGAACTGTTTAGCAGGAATACTTATTAAACTGAAAATGGTGAAGTTCTCCCACAAAGACAGACCCTACCAGTTCCCATGAAGATTGAATGAGAGATATTTACAACTGATGCCTTCTCTGTAAGCAATTCATAACTTGCGGTCACTTTCCCTCCAAACTCGCCTTATGCAATATCTAGTTCATATCAAAGCATAAAAGTAAAAAGATATGATACATACAGAATTAAAGCGTATTTTTACGTTTTAAAAACTATCATTATACAAAAATAATAGTAGATGGATAGGTTTAAGTGCCTTTACTTACCAGAAATATATTTATCCAAATCCCATGCTAATAAGTGTAAATAAATAAAAAGCTTTTCAAGCAGACCTTATCTAGAAACTAAAATAAAAGCTAACTGTGATAATATAACCCCACCTACTTTTTATATTTTTTACCTCGTACCATGTTGAACACATCATAGATACAACTACTGATGATCCCTTCAGTAATGGCTCCTAACAACTGGAGGATGAAAGGGGCGTGGGAGAAGAAGGAATGGGAGGCTCACTGAATTTCTGATTTTATCAGAGGACACCATAGTTCCCCTAGAGTACTGCTGATTTAACCAAAGAAGTCAGCAGAAAACTAAGATTCCCTTACCAGGAATTTGCTTTCCCTTATACTGTGCCAGGAATATCTACTTCTTAAGATGGCAGACACCTATCTTTAAAAAAAAAAAAAAAAAGCACTATTTTTCAAAGAACTCACATTTTGACGTCTTTCTGAGACACTCACCTTGCCGTTATGGTTCAAAGGCTCGATTGTTAAGCTGTCAGGGCCAATGTCCACAATGTTGCCCATCTGGAACCCATCTGTGGGGTGTGGTGCCCAAACGGGCTTTCCATCCTCCATGTTTGAAAGGGGCTATCCACTGTCTCCTATTTAAAAGGAACAAATAAAGCAGCATGAATAACTAGAAATATAAAACAAATTATATATCTGTTTTGAAAGTTCACATCATCCCACCTCAGAGAAACACATCTGCTCTGGCCACAGAGAATCCCCCCCACACCCGCAAGTCCTTTAGAGCAGGCCCAGCAGGAGCTGCTCCACCTTCAGGTGACACCCACCCCACCCCCACTGCTGAAGGGTGACTGCAGTGGGTGGTACACACTGACTAAAAGGGGGAAAGAAGCCACCTGCTGGCCCAGCCTGGTTCACCAGACCACTCCTCTTACTACTTAAAGGACTCTGCTTTGAACAGTCATAGGAGCAGATGTTATCATGTAAAGACAGCTAAGAGTTAAAAAATAAGATAAAAAGACAGGTTACTTGCCCTGAACACTGTGCCTCCCACTGAGAATGCAGGAATGTGCTCCCTGTGGTCCTCTCACAGAACCACTCCACACACTGGGTTTACAGGGAAGCTGAGACCCCTCCCCTCCCCTCACTCTGTCTTTCTGCTTAGACACAGGATAACAACATGTTAAGACGGGGTGTCTCCATCCTCCCCATTTGCTGGCAAATTTATAACCTTCCCTTTCTTTCTCCTCAAAAAAAAAAAAAAAACTGTTTTTGTTGTTCTTGTTGGTTTTCATAAAGGAAAGACTTACACACAGGCCAGGCATGGTGGCTCATGCCAGTACTTCTAGCACTCTGGGAGGCCAAGGCAAGAGGACGGCTTGAGCTTAAGAGTTGGAGACTGGCCTGAGCAAGAGCAAGGCCCCACCTCTACTACAAACAGAAAAATTAGGGGGACATCCTGGCATGAGCCTGTGACCCTAGCTATTCAGTTGACTGAGGCAGGAGGATCACTTGAGCCCAGGAGTCTGAGGTTGCAAAGAGCTACGATGATGCCACTGCACTCTACCTAGGGTTACAGAGTGAGACTCGGTCTCTTTCAAAAATAAACAAAGAAAATGACCTACATACAATTAAATGTATTTTTAAGTATAGAGGTTCACGGATTTGGACAAATGAATGCAACCATTTAACAGACACCCCAGTTGATATGCAGGACACTTGCATGGCCCCTGAAAACGGCCTCACGCCTCCTTCTGGTCAACCCAGCACCTGTGTCACCCCACTGCTCTGTCAGCTCTGCCTGTCCTTGGACTTCATGTAGATGAGGCCATACAGTATGTGTGCTTTGTGTCCAGCTTCTCTCATTCAACAGAACGTCTCTGGTATTCAACACATCCAACTGTCCTGTTGTGTGCAGCAGTCCCTGCAATGACTATACTGCAATTGCTGTGAATTCTTATCCAATTGTTCAGTTGTCTTTCTTTTATACTTGGTATTCTGAGATTTAACATTGAACATAAATTCTGTCTATTCAGAGTAGCCAGAAAAATCCATGACATGCAAAATACCCCATTTTAATGACCTTGGATGCCATAAGACGAGTGTGTGATAGTCAGTGCTCTAGTAAGTGGGCCCAGATGTCCCGTTTCAGTATCTCGATGGGAACTTATTTTTTCATTACTTATCTATATTTAAAGAGGAGTTGATTCGTGTGCTTTATCCTCCTCTCAAATCTGGGATGTCCATGGGAACGCTTTCATGGATAATATCCCGTGACAGGATGTTTGGCGCACAGCTCCGTGAAGAAGCTGCTAATTACACCGTGTTTGCAAGGTGCTTGCTGGCTAATGCCTTAACCGTGCAGTGGCGACAGGGCAGGCTGCTTTCTCTAGCCAGCAAACGCTATTAGGGTGCATATGATTCTAAGTTAACAAACTACATGAGGATTGTCCAGAAAAGTGAGTCAACAACACTGCTTTGGAAGCATATTCCACATACACATCCATGCTCTCCCCCTAGACATCCTGTCCCACAGCTTTAAATGCCATTTATACATGAACAATTCCCAAATTTATTTCTCCAGCCCAGACTCACATTGAGTTCCCAGACGTTTGCTTACCTAACTGGCACCTCCTCATGGATGTATCTAATACATGGAGTACTGCCGTTACTGGGGTGCCGCCCAACACCCCAGCCTGTTCCTCTACATATCAGTAAAGGCACCATCAATACTCAGCTCAAGTCAAACCTGGAGCCATCCTCAATTCCTTCCAAATTCATGTCACCCACAGAATCTTGCTGGCTTTATCTCCCGACGGCATCTCAAAGCCACCTACTTCTCCGCATCTCCTCTGCCATCCTAGTCCAAACCAACATCGCCTTTTATCAGGCCTTCAGTAACTAACTTAGCTGTCTGTTTCTATTCTTGCCAATGCACAAAGATCATTCGTAATCCCACCAAAAAGTAAATCTGACCATGGCATTTCTGTTCCATCTGGGCATGGAATATTCCTCTGTGTCCCTAAGGCCCAGAACACAGCAGGCAACCCAATATTCACTGGTGAATGAACAAATTGTTCACACAGCTTGGGACAAGTAAAAGGAGAGGGTAGACTAGAAAGAGCTGAACGGTCTTAAAACCTCGACTTGCAACTCAGCCCTAGGACTTTGGCTAGCTCTGAAGCAAGTTACTTAACCTCTCTGATTTTTATCTTTGTCCTTATCCATTCGGTAGGATACTATCACGTACCTTACAGAACTGCCATGAGGATTAAGTGACAAAAAATTGAGATCACCATTCTAATGCCACCAAACAGATACTAGTTGCACCTGGCCCCTTTCCCTCCCCCCGTATCCCTTATTTGAAGCCAACAATTTCAAGACAATGGTCTTGTGGTAGTTTTAAATACAAAGGGAAATGACAGAATACTCATAGGGGATCACTTAGGAATAATTATCTGAAAAAGAAAATCACAGCAAAGTAAAACCCCAGATCCAAAAAAGACGGGCAAGTTCTCTCTGGGTACAGTGGCTCTTGCCTGTAATCCTAGCACTCTGGGAGACTGAGGCAGGTGGATTACCTGAGCTTAGGAGTTCAAGACTAGCCTGAACAAGAGCAAGACCCCAACTCTACAAAAAATTTTCAAAAAGCCGGTGCTATGGCAGGGGCTACTTGGGAGGCTGAGGCAAGAGAATCACCTAAGTCCAGGAGTTGGAGGTTGCTGTGAGCTGTGACACCACAGCACTCTACTGAGGGTGACAAAGTGAGACTCTGTCTCTTAAAACAAAAAAAAAGACATCAGCCCCACAAGGATGGGGAGAACCAAAGAAGAGCCTATTATCAGCAACCTTTTGTGAGTTGGTAAGCAAATGGTTGAGAGGCAACTAACTTGGCAATCCTAGGAGAGCTAAATACCAAGTCAGGAAATAGAAAAGATGAAAACCAACCCAAACTGTGCTACAGAATCCTAAAAAATCACATGAACTAGCTCGGTGCCTGTGGCTCAAGCAGCTAAGGCACCAGCCACATACACCTAAGGTGGCAGGTTCGAATCCAGCCCAGGCCCGCCAAACAACAATGATGGCTGCAACCAAAAAATAGCCGGGCATTGTGGCAGGCGCCATGGTCCCAGCTACTTGGAAGGCTGAGACAGGAGACTCGCTTGAGCCTAGGAGTTGGAGGTTGCTGTGATCTGTGATGCCACGGCACTCTACCCAGGGGGAAAGCTTGAGGCTCTGTCTCAAAAAAAAAAAAAAAAATCACATGAACTACAGTACTATGTAGTTCTAGAACCAGGGTGAAAGGAACCTAAACTAACAAAGACTAGGCGATAGTTCTCTGAAAAAGAGACTTCCTTACACATACTCCACACTGCTGGGCAGATACCCTATCCCCTGATCACCAAGAGGAATTATCTAGAGGTTATTCTCCAGAAGAAGAGAGAGATTTCTGGAATAAGAAACACCAGGAGCGATTGAGGTTGTGTACACAAAAACTGCTGAGTAGAGATAAACTCTCTCCTTGAACCAAACTTTCCTCTGAGCTCTCTACTTGACAAGGCCTTGATCTTAGCTCTCCCTCTCTGTCCTGTCCTTGTCAAGCCTACACAGCCCAGTTTTAGCAAGAATTCTGCAAAGTGAATTTAGAGAGAATCCCTACCCTTGATATCTGATCAAGTTCCAAAGCTCCACCACTCCCCAACCAAGAACGTAATTCCTTGACCTGCCCTCAGCAAGAATCCTGGTGAGTCAGTTTAGCAAGCATCTCCATACCCTTGACGTCTCCTCTTGGTAATTTTCCGCCGGTCCACTGACCTTCTCACTCTGCTCTTTGGCCACAGCCCTCAACTGTCCTTGCTATAGTCAGAGTTGACCCCCATCTCTCCCCTCCTGCTATACCCCTCGCGATGAACTGAGAACTGAGTGCATGTGTCTGATATGGACTAAATTTTATTCTTCCCAAATTCCTATGTTTAAGCCCTAACCCCTGATGTGACTACATCTGGATTCAGTGCTTTTAGGAGGTAATTAAGGTTAAACAAGGTCAGAACGGCAGGGTTCTAATGAGACTGGCTGGCGGCTTTATGAGAGGAAGACACACACCCAGGAAAGGCTGTGTGAGCTCACAGCAAGGCATCTACCTGCAAGCCAGGGAAAAGACACAAACCAGAACCCAGCCCTGCCCACACACTGGCCTCAGATGCCCAGACGCCTCAACAGTGAGAAAACGCATTTCTACTGTTCCGTGCATGTGTCTGTGGCATTGTTCCTTAGCCCTCGTGTACCTACTGTGTGGCTGAAGACAACCCTTACTCGCCATGTGTAGCAGAGAAGATAAAAGGTTGGACACTTCCAGTGTAAGATTTACTAGAATAACTATCTTTTATGATGTCTTCATTTAATATGTTTTTGGACTCATAAATATTTACAATATCAAATTTTCCAGCATTCATGAAGTCTGATTTATTGAGCCCACCAAAGAAGATAAAATTCTTTCAGATTTACTACCAGAAAATCTTAAAGAACACTCACACAATCTTAATTAGTTCTAACTAAAATGTTTGCATATGAAGGGTACTTAAAAAGACATTGTAAAGAGAAGTTAATTAATTAATTTTGGAGACAGGGTCTTGCT